CAATGAAGTTCATTCTCGTGTTACGCAGCGCGTTTGAGCTTCCGCAAGAACCAATGAAATTCATTCTTGTGTTACGCAGCACGTTTGAGCTTCCACAAGAACCAATGAGGTTCATTCTAGTGTTACGCAGCGCGTTTGAGCTTCCGCAAGAACCAATGAGGTTCATTCTCGTGTTACGCAGCACGTTTGAGCTTCCGCAAGAACCAATGAAATTCATTCGCGTGTGTTACGCAGCACGTTTGAGCTTCCACAAGAACCAATGAGGTTCATTCTCGTGTTACGCAGCACGTTTGAGCTTCCACAAGAACCAATGAGGTTCATTCTCGTGTTACGCAGCACGTTTGAGCTTCCACAAGAACCAATGAGGTTCATTCTCGTGTTACGCAGCACGTTTGAGCTTCCACAAGAACCAATGAGGTTCATTCTCGTGTTACGCAGCGCGTTTGAGCTTCCGCAAGAACCAATGAGGTTCATTCTCGTGTTACGCAGCGCGTTTGAGCTTCCACAAGAACCGATGAAATTCATTCGCGTGTGTTACGCAGCGCGTTTGAGCTTCCACAAGAAGCAATGAGGTTCATTCTCGTGTTACGCAGCACGTTTAAGCTTCCGCAAGAACCAATGAGGTTCATTCTCGTGTTACGCAGCGCGTTTGAGCTTCCGCAAGAACCAATGAGGTTCATTCTCGTGTTACGCAGCACGTTTGAGCTTCCGCAAGAACCAATGAGGTTCATTCTCGTGTTACGCAGCGCGTTTGAGCTTCCACAAGAACCAGTGAGGTTCATTCTCGTGTTACGCAGCGCGTTTGAGCTTCCGCAAGAACCAATGAGGTTCATTCTCGTGTTACGCAGCACGTTTGAGCTTCCACAAGAACCAATGAGGTTCATTCTCGTGTTACGCAGCACGTTTGAGCTTCCACAAGAACCAATGAGGTTCATTCTCGTGTTACGCAGCACGTTTGAGCTTCTGCAAAAACCAATGAGGTTCATTCTCGTGTTACGCAGCACGTTTGAGCTTCCACAAGAACCAATGAGGTTCATTCTCGTGTTACGCAGCACGTTTGAGCTTCCACAAGAACCAATGAGGTTCATTCTCGTGTTACGCAGCACGTTTGAGCTTCCACAAGAACCAATGAGGTTCATTCTCGTGTTACGCAGCGCGTTTGAGCTTCCGCAAGAACCAATGAGGTTCATTCTCGTGTTACGCAGCACGTTTGAGCTTCCACAAGAACCAATGAGGTTCATTCTCGTGTTACGCAGCGTGTTTGAGCTTCCGCAAGATCCAATGAGGTTCATTCTCGTGTTACGCAGCACGTTTGAGCTTCTGCAAGAACCAATGAGGTTCATTCTCGTGTTACGCAGCACGTTTGAGCTTCCACAAGAACCAATGAGGTTCATTCTCGTGTTACGCAGCATGTTTGAGCTTCCACAAGATCCAATGAGGTTCATTCTCGTGTTACGCAGCACGTTTGAGCTTCCACAAGAAACAATGAGGTTCATTCTTGTGTTACGCAGCACGTTTGAGCTTCTACAAGAACCAATGAGGTTCATTCTCGTATTATGCAGCGCGTTTGAGCTTCCACAAGAACCAATGAGGTTCATTCTCGTGTTACGCAGCACGTTTGAGCTTCCACAAGAACCAATGAGGTTCATTCTCGTGTTACGCAGCACGTTTGAGCTTCTGCAAAAACCAATGAGGTTCATTCTCGTGTTACGCAGCACGTTTGAGCTTCCACAAGAACCAATGAGGTTCATTCTCGTGTTACGCAGCATGTTTGAGCTTCCACAAGATCCAATGAGGTTCATTCTCGTGTTACGCAGCACGTTTGAGCTTCCACAAGAAACAATGAGGTTCATTCTTGTGTTACGCAGCACGTTTGAGCTTCTACAAGAACCAATGAGGTTCATTCTCGTGTTATGCAGCACGTTTGAGCTTCTACAAGAACCACGTTTGAGCTTCCACAAGAACCAATGAGGTTCATTCTCGTGTTACGCAGCACGTTTGAGCTTCCACAAGAACCACGTTTGAGCTTCCACAAGAACCAATGAGGTTCATTCTCGTGTTACGCAGCACGTTTGAGCTTCCACAAGAACCACGTTTGAGCTTCCACAAGAACCAATGAGGTTCATTCTCGTGTTACGCAGCACGTTTGAGCTTCCACAAGAACCAATGAGGTTCATTCTAGTGTTACGCAGCGCGTTTAAGCTTCTACAAGAACCAATGAGGTTCATTCTCGTGTTACGCAGCGTGTTTGAGCTTCCGCAAGAACCAATGAGGTTCATTCTCGTGTTACGCAGCACGTTTGAGCTTCCACAAGAACCAATGAGGTTCATTCTCGTGTTACGCAGCACGTTTGAGCTTCCACAAGAACCAATGAGGTTCATTCTCGTATGTTACGCAGCACGTTTGAGCTTCCACAAGATCCAATGAGGTTCATTCTTGTGTTACGCAGCGCGTTTGAGCTTCCGCAAGATCCAATGAGGTTCATTCTTGTGTTACGCAGCACGTTTGAGCTTCTACAAGAACCAATTAGGTTCATTCTCGTGTTACGCAGCATGTTTGAGCTTCCACAAGAACCAATGAGGTTCATTCTCGTGTTACGCAGCGCGTTTGAGCTTCCGCAAGAACCAATGAGGTTCATTCTCGTGTGTTACGCAGCACGTTTGAGCTTCCACAAGAACCAATGAGGTTCATTCTCGTGTTACGCAGCACGTTTGAGCTTCCACAAGAACCAATGAGGTTCATTCTCGTGTTACGCAGCACGTTTGAGCTTCCACAAGAACCAATGAGGTTCATTCTCGTGTTACGCAGCACGTTTGAGCTTCCAAAAGAACCAATGAGGTTCATTCTCGTGTTACGCAGCACGTTTGAGCTTCCACAAGAACCACGTTTGAGCTTTCACAAGAACCAATGAGGTTCATTCTCGTGTTGCGCAGCACGTTTGAGCTTCCACAAGAACCAATGAGGTTCATTCTCGTGTTACGCAGCACGTTTGAGCTTCCACAAGAACCAATGAGGTTCATTCTCGTGTTACGCAGCACGTTTGAACTTCCACAAGAACCAATGAGGTTCATCCTCGTGTGTTACGCAGCGCGTTTGAGCTTCCACAAGATCCAATGAGGTTCATTCTTGTGTTACGCAGCACGTTTGAGCTTCCGCAAGTAGTTTGATCTCGCGCGTCAAGCAGGTTCAGTTGTTTTATTTATGGTTGCCGATCAATGTTTATATGAGAATAAAAGCCTAAATTCAATCAGTTCATCATATAAAGTGACAGAGTGTCTTCAGAAAATTGGACTAAACAGCACTATTCGTATGGCTTATTTTTACGATCTCTTTATGAACTGAGGGAGTCATTTTTGGGTGAGTAATTAATGACAGAATTGTTTTTGTTTTTTGGGTGAACTAACCCTTTAAGTAAGATCAGGTTTGGCACATGCACCTCCCTACTGTCATGAATGAAAAGCCTGTAGGCATTGCATGAATTAACATTTTTATTTATTTTCATAATTTTCCAAAAGAAAAAAAAGAGGGAAAATTCATGCGAACACCAGAGCCATCTCATCAGAGCACTTAAAGAGATCAAGCTACTCAAGTCCTGTCTTTCACCATCTACAAGCAATGCATATCAGATCCAAAAGAACACGTGGAAAGATATAAAACTCAAAAAAGATAAAAAGAAAAAAGTTGCACACTAACAAGTTTTGTTGTTTACAGCTTCTGTAGCTGCCAATAGCTGTCCAGAAGATCAGATTTGCATAGCGCTCAATGTGCTAGTGATACAAATGATGAACCAGTATTGTAGCATTAGTCAAGTTTACTTTTAGCTTTGTGTTTTAATGTCTAATAGTCCTGATAAAAGTGTAACACTACAGCAGTTGTATTGCTCTGTTTTTTTTCTAAGTGCTACTTGCATGTCATTAATCGCAGAAACATGTCCAGTTGATTGTCACCTGTCAGCAATTTCATATTGAATTCCTTCATAAAGCCCCTGTCCACTCAGCTTAATGCACATTATATAACACTGGCAGTTAGAGATATATCATAATTTAAATGTCCCCTACCACTCAGTGGCAGAGTCAATCACATGGGAAAAATAAAATACAAAGACATTTACAGTGGCTATATAAAATAAATGTCCTAGGTCAAAAAAGAGCTAGACTACAGTACAAGGAAAAGCTATTGGTAAACCATAAAATGGCTGGCCAAACAAAAACAAACAAACAAAACCACTTCACATATATAAATATATTACACTAATTACAAAAACCAAAGAGTGATCGAGTGGAGCGAGGTTTGGCCATCAAGCACACAGAGAGACATTTGTAAAACACTGATCTGGCTGGCCAGCACTAAGAGACATTCTATCAGTAAAGCTGAAGTCTGTCATTTTGGATAATAAAATAATTTCTCCAATCCCTCCAATTTAATGTGCAGAGAACTGTAAGCTAGCGTAGGTTGATTTCCCTGTAAACATTGTGGGTCTGTGGCGCTTTCAACCCAATGGGACGCGTTCGGGGCAGGACTACCTGTTTGACCGACCAATGGCAGACCACTATGGGATGGTTATTTTTGCAATTCCAATTCATTACACATTATATGATTGACTTTAAATGTGGAAACTCTAGTTAATAGCACTGAATTTTGGTGACTTGATTGAGTGGTCAACCAAGGGGTCAGGGGTCAAATGGACTGTGAGTTAATGTCCACACCAAATAAATAGTATGTTACAGCTCTCGTTACATGATTACAGGTGAAATTAAATACATACACAAAATGCTATAGGACAAATGTCTCTGTACACTGAGGATGAAAAGTATGATGAATATATATATATATATATATATATATATATATAGTATATATTTTTTACGTTTACATTTCTTGAAAAAGATGTGACCATTTCAACCCCAGATAAAAACATCATATAGCTGAGAAAGGACATTTCCAAAAAGCACTTTCAAGTCTAAGATTGTCCTGGTCAGTTCATCTGGAAATATGTCTTATGTCTGTAATTAAGTTCAAACACTTAAAAAGTCTTATCTTTAAGCAACAACATGCAATACCATCAGTGACCACTGGGAGCAACACGTTTGCACCGTTGCCACGTCCCTTAAACATAATGTGCAACACAGCATAGCACAAGATATGTGCTGATCTCAGGACTTAAATGTCTGGTTTAATCTGAGAGGACTAGTTTCCGTGAACTACGGGCCACACAAGTATAAAGTCTCTCTAGTATTTCCCTCCCCACCCTTTAAAAATATATGGCAGCATATAGTTTCACTCACATTAAAGCACATTCTAAACTCATTCTTAAGTTACTAAAAAGTCCTTTTTTCACATCAAAGTCTTTGTGAAGGGTGGATGGAACCAGCCGGCAGTTTAGTTTGGGAGTGGATGTAATTATCAGTATGAGAGTGAAAAACATTGAGTTTACATTTACATGTTAAGACATATTGCACATAAAGCCTTTTTGTGGGAGTCTGAAGCCTTTTGGTTTTAGATGTGGTTCTATTGCACACATGCACACACACACACACACACAAATGTCCTTAATGAAATGTAGAAAAACGTTTTTCCCTTTTTGACACGTCAGGGAAAATATGGCGTGGTGGTTATCCATTCAACGTCATGGTGTGTAGACAAAAATGGCAACTTATGCAGATAAATCAGATATGACCAGCTTATCCATTTTACTTCCAATGTCTGAGGAGACCGTGAGCTCATCGGACTCGTAATCGTCGTCGAAAGATCTGCAAAAGCAAGCATGCACCAGTTAAGCTTCATACACCTCTGCTATATGAAGTTCAAATATACATATAGTTGGTATCTCATCTCTATGCAATGTAATGAACTCTGTAGCGAATTCATTACATTACAGAGCGCATTGACTCACCCCTCTCGTAGCTGTTCATTGGCTGTCTCCTCTGCCACAAGAATCTCATACTCTTCGGAAGCATACTTGTCCCAGTCTGAGGGCTCTGGACCGTCACTATCCAAATCCTGATACACACACACACTTACAGTTACAGAATGCTCAGAGTACTCACATAGATAACATTCAGCACAGTGGATCTGGATATAAATGCAACCCGTTAAACTCTTACCTTCTGCACTGCAAAGGGATCTCTCTGCTCATGGTCCAGGTACTTCTCCAGATTGAAAAATGTGTCGTAGAATATATGTGCCATCCTGCAGCGCTTCAAATCTCGAAGAGTAATTTTACCTGCCAAGAGACATCATCAATTGTTTACATTACATACTCTATACATTTATTCATTGGACAGGCAAATTCCTGTGCATTCAAGGTATACAATTTATCAGTATCTTACATTGGCATTTTTACATTTTGCAGACACGGAACAGAAGATGTATAAAAGTATGAAATACTTATACATTAAAGTATGTATACTACACACTAAGACTATGTGTGTTATTTCTACTTCAGAGGTAGCCTCATGTTCTTCCCGTTTTGACTGATTATAATATGGGTGAGATGGAGCTATGAGTTTGAGAGGATCAGAATGGGTCTGTTACCTGGGCATTCTGGTTTAACTAAGTCCAGCATCTGGCACAGGAGATCCTGGAAGGGCAGTGGTTCAATGCCCATCCCCTCCATGCGTTCACACTGCTCCTCATAGAAAAACTCCAGTTCAAACATGGACAGAACACCATCTCCATCCATATCCATACAGCGGAACCAGTACTCTATACTGAACAGAGAGAGTTATCGTTATTTTAGTAGGCCCTAAAAAGGCCACTTTTAGGCATTTTTACACTTCACACAATGTTTGTACTACCTGTCTTTAAAAATTGCATATTTGTTTGATATTTTGTCATAACTTAAGCTTAAATGTCTAAATACCTTTTAGGCCATCAATCTCTATTTATGTTCCAGAAAAGATAGACTGGATGCTTAATTTATATGGGCCTAGTTAATTTATCAATCAATCATAACAACTTTTTAAAAACAAACGTTTTAGTATTATTTACATACTATTATCATATTTATTAATATTTTGAATTAGCTTTTATTTTTATATGTTCAGTTTTCCTTTTAATTTTAGTTTAAGCCATTTTGTAATGTTCTTTAATAATTTTTATTTGTTATGGTTTTATTTTTTATATGTATTTATACCTTTAATTTATTTGTATTTCAAGTTAATAATTTTAGAACTTCAACTCAAATGTACTTATTTCACTTAATTTTTACTGTTCATGTAAAAGATTTATTTAAAATACCAAAAACTATTACAACACGTGGTCTCTAGAATTTGCTCTCATATTTGTGATATCTCATCTGTCGTTACCTCGTGGGGTTCTTTTTGTCCTCTTCTGAAATGAGGAACCAAACAAACTCAGCGTAGCTCATTCTTCCTTCTCTCTGCACTGAGTTTCCCCTAGAAGAAAGTACAAACTTGTATCATAAGCCACATGTATGCCACCCAAGTAAATCTCAGATACTACTTTATTTCTCCCCAGGAGGTCCTATACCTTGTAACAGATCCTGAGAACAGCCTCTCAATGATTCTGCTCGATGAAGCTTTGCAAAAGAAGAACAGAGTAGAGACACGTCAAAAGCCGTTTCTCAATACCACACAGTCCACAAGTCTGTTTGGAATCTGAATGAGACTCACAAGTTAATGTAAGGGATAGTTTACCCAGAAATTAGTAAATGATAACAGAACTTTCATTTTTGGGTAAATTCTCCTTTTAAATAGTGATAAAAGCTAACAAATGACACTCATCTAGTGCAAAAACAGGTTCACTGTGTACTTACCATGGTCATTGTACCTGGCCAGGTCCTTGGGGTCAATGAAGAGGTCATGGTCAGTGTCCAGCTCCCAGAACTTACAGTAAATGACATAGAAGTGCTCATAAGAGAAATAATCTGTAATTTGATTGATGTCGTCCTCTTCTTCCAGCAGGGCGAGAGTCTAGTGAGACAGCAAGAGTGGCTTCTGATGAAAAAGTCCCTTCGAGTTTGGAAAATTGAATTAAACACATTGAAGGCCTAGAGTTAAGGTGGCACTTAATAGTGTTTACCTGGAGGAAGTTGCTTCTTCTGAGCTCTGTCATGTTGATCTTGCCTGTCCAGGAGCGATTGACCGTATAAAATATTCTCTGAATCACCTGGAGAGTAGAGAAAGGACATCATGGAGTTAAGGATGTCAAAAAGTTCTAAAGAAAAGTTTAAAAGACCTAGACTAAAGTGTTTGCTTAATCTCCGAAACACCCCATCTTGGAACAATCGATAATAAAAGAATTTACTACTTTGGACATAATCCAAAAAGAGTCTTTGAAGCGGTTACTTAAGATGTTCTCTACATGTTGTACATCATAATAATCATGAAACCCAAATACATAAAGCCTAGGGGCCAGATTTACTAACTCTTCTGGCATTAGAAAACTATTGTCAGGATTTACTAAAGACATGCAGTGAAAAATTAGCGCTGAAGAGGCGTGGACAGTGTTATTTTTGCGGCTGACCTTATTGAATACGCATTTGTAGAAATTTCCCTTTCAGGCGCAACATTTATGTGAGGAGAGTATTTAAATGAATCATGCAAAGTGATTTCCTAAGATTTGCGCAAGTCAATTTACTGGTATTTGTGCCAATATTAAACGCCCCAAAAAAGCATGTCTTAAACCAGATGCTAATTTGCGTTGCTCTTGGTAGATCGTGTTGGTCATTATGGAAATGATCCGGCTGCGTCCGTGTTTTTTAATGTGTGCGTCTTCAGTAGATCACACAGAACTTTCCACTCCCATCTGCGCTTTTTTGGAAATGCGCTCTCACGCTAATTTGCCCTGTTTAGTAAATCTGGCCCTAAATGTTTAAACAAGTTCCAGAACCCATAATCTCTCTACATAATGGCCTCTAGTCTGAGAAATGATACTCTGGATTTCAGTGATGCCACATTTGATAAGAAGTGATATTTTGCAGAGCAAATGTGTTTATCAGGGGTGTCGCTTGTGTTGATGATAACAGTGTTCTTTAATAAAAATAAAAAATAAACCACAAAAATGATAACCTAAATAATTCAGAATGACACTCCAACATAGTAAGCGGCTGGTTAGCATTCATCATAAAACAGAAAAAGATGACGATGATGACGCAGTTTGTAGCTACGGTTGCACAAAAGATGATTCACGGAGATGATTCACAATTTCAATAGATATCGCAATAATATCGCTAATGTGACTATTTTGGCCACGATAATAGTGTAGTGGAAATCTGATACTCTAACAGCCCAAGTGCACATTGAAACCAGAGAGAAATGGGACATCTTAATTAAGCTTATACAACTGTTGGATTCTACACCTTCCCTCCATCACAGCTCTGAAATCTCAAGTCATACAGGTTTGGAGTAAATGATGACAGAATTTTCAATTTGTATTAAAATATTACTGAACATTCCATCCAGAAGTTCTTTCTGCCTGTAGGTACAGATGTCTAGCGACTAGTCGTATGGAGACATACTGGGTTATATCTAGCCCTGTGGTGACAAAGGCCCCATGCTTCAGGCTCCAAGAGAAACAGTGACATCAGTGTGGATTAACACGTCCTGGTAGATCAGTCCTCATAGGAGAAATTGGTACCGGGGTGTGTCAGCCAGTGCACCAGTGCAAGGAAGTGTCTAAATATGGGGTTGTGCAAGACCTTTGGTGGCATCCGTGTTTCCGTGATGTCAGGCCACTTTGACGCCATTGCCCTTCCCACCCCCTCCATCTCCCTTCGCAGCACGTGTTGCAGCTGTCCCACAGACAGAAAGACAGACAGACAGACAGACATACAGGCGCACTCCACGTTTCACTGTTTCGACGCTTCACCAGCTCAGCTCAGATAGCTGGATCTGATTTACTGTAAACACCTAAATAAGCTAACAAGGCTTTCAAACTCAAAACTGAAATACTGGAGCAAAGCTACAAATAGAGATTACATGTGCCAAATTGATGATTAGCCCTGGACAAAGCAAAGTCATGTTCCAGTTGACAGACGCTGACACTCAAAAAGTTGTGAAACGATGTAAAAAAAAAAAAAAAAAAAAGAATTTAGCAGCATGTTCCAGAGACAAGAAAATCGCCATTCCTGTAATCTTATCCCCATGAGAAACTTCTGCCTGTGTGATTGAGCCCTTCATAAAGATGCTTACTGTTGTGATGTACCGGGAATGGAATTCAGGAGCATCTTTCAAAAATGTCAGGCCTGGATGAGTGTCCACAATGTCCTAATCAAAAAACAAAACAAAAACAAGATTGAGATGACTGTCCTAACCTAACAGTTTAAGTCTACAAAGCTCCTTTAGACTGCCTATGTAATGAATTTATTAAATGTAAAATTATTTATAACACAAAAATAAATCAAACTAATAAACAATAAAATAACTATAATAAAAATATAGCCTCTAATATCCAACACGAGACTATTATATTATTAATATAATATAATATAATATAATATAATAAATATAAAATAAAGCTGGAAAACAAATTATTTTGTTTTTTCTCAATTTTAATAAAACAAAACAAATTCTGCACCATTTAGATCCTCTATTGGTCGCATATTTTTTTTATTTCACCTTTACCTAAGACTTCTTTTATTCATTATCATATGTTCATATCTACTTTTAGTAATCACTGATGCAGAAATACAGGTGGTACCAAAAGGTTTATTTTTCACAGCTATATGCACTGTAAAAAACAACAACAATGAATTACAAGAGCAATGTTCCAACCTGTAATAGAGGGATGAAATCTTCTTGTTCCAGGTAATTGCAGCCTGGTTTGGCCAGCAAGTAAACAAACTTGGATGCATCATCGTAGCAGCTGTGCAATAACCTGTAAAGATGAATAAAGGCAGAAAGTCTCAATCCAATGCCACACAAGATGTATAAAGATGTGAAGTGTGTGCTGACACTTACTTTCTAAATGTTGCAATGAATGAGTGAACAGAAACAAAACCTGTTCTCTCTCCACCAGCGCAAATGAACATTGGTGATTTCCAATAGAGGGGACATCCGCATGCCTGTGAAATGCAATGCATGAATTTTCTGTTTTCGTTGCATTTTAAATGGCATTGACATTGAATTATAATATTAATTAATACATAATTATAATCATGTACTGTCAAATAAATAAATAAAAGCCGATAACACATTTTTATTAAATCTCGATATTACTTAAAGCTGCAGTCCGGCATTTTTCCTCTTTGTCGCCATCTCTGTTCGAAATCTGCAATTGCAGTCATTCGCGGAATTATCAACTTTACGTGGGTTGTAGTTCAACACCCTCGACACGGCACAGCGCGGATGAACACAGTGTTTGAGGAGAGTGTGCAGCTGTCAGTCACCACGCCGATGTGGATATTGTCATTCAGAATCACAGATTATTCTTTTTGGAAGTATGACCAACATAAGAATTTTCACCGGGAAATGTCATCTGAACTAGTAAGAAACATTCACTTTTGTTCTGGTTCTGACATTGCAGTAAATCGCGCTGATTAAATCTAACAATTGCTTATAAGTTATCATTTCGTGCAAAGTAGCTATACTATGTTCTCTAATTGTTAATGTTAACAACGTCAGCAAGCATTGCGTGACTACATCATGTAATGTCCTTCCGATATTATCCTTGTTTTCGCATGGGTCCGGTTGCAGTCTCTTTTTTTCTGTAGCCACTCCGAAGTCCGAACGAAGTCTTTTGCATTTTACAGCGGGTGAGTCTCTAGTTGTCACTGATGATGATCGTCGTTTGAACCTTTCTGGATCCGCCATCAAATTGCTAAGTTTAATTATATCAAGTGCTGTGAGAACAGGCTATAAATCTCTACCTCCAACATCCTCACACGCAATATAGCTTATACTAGCCGAGACTCTTCTTTATGTGTACAGATGTGACGTAATAACCAAAAGACATGCTCGAATCTCCCGCGGAAATCCACCAGTACCACTAAAATTAAAAACATTATTACAAGCTTACCGTTTTGCGTCGAGCTAAGGCAAGCAGATAGTTTTGAACACTGGCTGGTTATGTATTTTATCAAATATGTATTTTGGATAAATTTTTAACCCAAAAAAAGCTACGGACAGCAGCTTTAAATTATGTAAAAACAAAAAATAATTTATGTAAATTATAAGATTGATCCTCTTTAAGGGTCCAAGTATCTGATTCTCAGAGTGTAAATGTCAGGATGGATTATTCTGTTTATATTTCTTCATTATATGCTATTGTTCAAATATTATTCAAAATGTGAGAAAATAAAATATAATGTTGTTATGAGACGGCATCCATCATAATGCTGTGGCAATACAATTTGGCAAGCAGATCTGCTGGTAAAGACTTCGAAAAACAAGTGTCAGCTTGCATGTTCAAAGCTGTCAATCTAAGGCTATTGAGAATGGTTCAGAGACTATGACTCTCATTTCAGGCAAAACAGTTCTCATATGCACCTTTGCTATCTTCCCCATTTCATAAATGTCAGCTTTCTCCTCCTCAAACTCTGTGAAGGCTGCCTCAATTTTGGCAATGGCCTCGTCATAGTTGGCTGCACAGTTTGGAAGGCCTTTGGGGAAGTAGAAGCGTGGAATGTTTATGGAGGAGGGTGGGGGCGTGGCCACCACTTTGGCTGGCGGAGGACTGGGTGACCGTGGGGTTGGCGAGGAGGGTGCAGGTGCAAGAGCTGGAGGAGGTGTTCCAGGTTTCTTCTCAGGCTGGATCTATTGAGACACAGAGAGAGAAACAATAAGAGAAAGAATAAGGATTTCCATGGGTGTGACAGCCATTTAGGCCAAGTTCTACATTTGCTTCACAAAACCTCAAAGAAATTCAGCTGAATATGAATGTCATTCCACAACAGATCCAAGAAGGCAAGCTAAAAACAAAGTTCAGCTGAAGATGTGCATGAAGCAAACAGTAGATATGAAAAAATGGTGTTAACAGTGGTTGTTTAATATAAATATACCATGTTCGCCATCGCGTGACAAGATGTATAAGTAATACAAAGAAAATTTCAGGAACTTCAACCAATATTGAGAAGACATCAAGGCAGCACATATATTGTATATTTAGTGCACATCTTCTAAATAAGCATTTACTTCAGCATCATATCCAATCTCTACGGAAGTATTTATAGTAATATAGCGGTATCAAATTAACAAGTAAACAATGCCTTTAAAGTTTTCTGTGACATTAAAGATGCCTACTTAATCGCTAGCGATCTTTATGAAAACCTTTCTCCCAGTACTTGCTGTGCGAGGATGTTGGCTCTCGTTCTGCATATTCACACTGATCAATCAACTTCGGCCTCATCAACTTTCCTGCCGATGTGATGACAGGAACTCCTCAGCAAAAAATAAGACTGATAGTTTGTTTACTTTTATTTCCACCTGCATTTTTTTCTCATTGATATAATGGTGAAGTAGAGTGATTTGGGCTCAACTCTTTTGTGGATTGGATAAAGGATTGGAACATGTTGCATGGAGCTCCAAAACTCTGCATGCTTTCAGTCTAATTCACAGGCCTGACACTAACAGCTGATGTCAGTTTACTTCATTCTTTTCAGACCAAGGTTAAACTTCTAATAACAAGCTGTGGAAATGTCCAGCACATTCTATACATAGTCTTGACATACTGTTCTTATTCTGGTCTCCGGGTAAAACCCTAGAGTCATAGCGTGCACTTATTTCTAAACGGCACAGTCTTACTGTTACTCAAACAGAAAAAGAGCTGTTGAAGTGCGACTGAATTTTGAAGAAATCTACTGCAAGCAGGACAGGACCAAATGGACGTATTGAAGAGAACAGCTGTGGCTCAAACCCGGCCCGGCCCGTACCATCCGATCCCTCCCCCCTCCTCGAAGCTCCTGTACGCAACACTTGGACACTGTATTCCTGTCCTGCCTCACCCCCTTACACTATCCTATTAATAAACACGTTGGTATCTGCCTGTGAATAGTTTGTCTTGTCTGGCATGTGAGAGTTAGCTATGGCATTCTTTACTGAACTACAGAGGTTGGCTACTGACCTGGGCTTGCTGGAAAGACTTGAGCCTTTTCTTGAACCGTGACGGAAGGACAAAGTCACAGCCTCGGGCCAAAAAGGCCAGTTCGCCCCGCAAGTCGGGATCCTCCCTTAACGAGGCCTCCTTGATCATCATATTGGCAATGTCAAAAGATTCAAAAAGTGAGAAATGAGGAAAAACCCTCCAAATAAGGAAATTGGACAAGCTACTCCAACAGTAGGTCCTCAGGAGGATCAGCTTCCGTTCAGGAACTTGCAGAGAACTCCGTTCTAGCCAGTGTCACTCGTACGCTCTTGTTCCACTCACTTCAAAACTCTCATTTGCCAGGCTTTGTCCAGGGATGTAAGGTGGATGCGTCTTGGCGCACGGAACAATTCCTAGAATCGTGCCTGCTACTGTAACAGCTGGAATCCAGGAGCATTGTACCAAAGAGGCCAGGCCGCCAGCCTCCTGATTGCCTTTCGAAACTACAAAACACAAAATCTCAACTCAAGTCCATAGCCAACGGGTTCCCAGCCCTGCGAAACATGAGCCGCTCAGGGTTCTGCCTCCCGGACCAGTCCCCTCTCTCTCTCTTAGCCTGTTCTGTCCTGATGAGCAGGGGGCTGAACGCACCGATACGGAGGGGAGGGGGATCAGCTGTGTCAAATGTCCGTAGGGGTGAGCAAGTTGTATTATGGGAATGGAAGCCCCCTCCCACCCCCAAACAGAAAGGCTAAAGTTAGCCAGAGCACTGATGAAGTTCAAATTGCTCGATCAAGACTTTGTTTACGTGCAGAGGAAGGCAGAGAGAGAGGGGAGATAGCTTGGAGGGCCAGGCCCCTGCGATAAACGGCTCCCGAGAGTTCATGGGGTGCACTTGGGGAGTGGAGTAATAGGGCAGTGTTTTAGGGCACTGCACCCAGAGCATAACAACACTAATGTCTGGAGTGCACAAAGCTTCCTCTCTGCTCTAGAAAGTTTCAAACTAACCGACAAATGAACTTGATACTCAAGGCAGACAAAACCCAACTGGTGCACTACAAGAACATTTGAAGGCCCCATGACTCTTCCAGCTGTTCGTGATTTACTGGATAAGGAGAAACAATAGGGATTTTTACTAATATTATTTTGACTAAATTTCTACCTAACAAGACTTTCCATAACTAGAAAAATGTATATTTAACTTAAAAATGCCCATGGAGTCATTATTAATTTATATGACTTTTCCAGGTCTAAAAAATCACACTTTTAAAATTAGACTAACTCATATATACAGGTTTTTATTCTTCTACACACGCACGCACGCACGCACGCACGCACGCACGCACGCACGCACGCAGGCACACACTTGTTGAGGAGGTGAATCACTACAATCAAAAGCTAAAACAACAACAAAAAAATCAAGTTATTTTTTTTTAAAGCGTATATATAAATCATCTTTAGGCCCCCTTGGAAGTTTGCAAAGGCCTGAGGTTTCCATAGACTGACCTGGGTCCAATTCTTCATACAGTTACCCGTTGACAATTTGACCCAACCCTGGACTGTTCCATTCTATGAAGCTGGTCACAGATTTGTCATAGCAAAAGGTTCATTAGCTCAAACTTCCTCAGGAGTAGATTTACCAAAACCAGGATAACATCATAGCTTTATGAGTAGAGGATAACAGAAGTCAGTCCTAGACAATGATCCTTTGTTACGAGAGCATTTTCTTGAAAAAAATATTTTATATTATTATCAATTATTAATATTAATTTAAAATATGCTATTTATTATTGTTATTATTATTAATAATATCCACAATAAACAAAGGTCTTCTTTAAAGGGATACTCCACCCAAAAATGAAAATTCTGTCATCATTTACTCACCCTCAAGTTGTTGCAAACCTGTATGAGTTTCTTTCTTCTGCTGAACACAAAGGAAGATATTTTGAAGAACGATTGGAACTTTGGCACCATTGACTTCCATAGTATTTTTTTTCTACTATGGAAGTCAATGGTGCCAAACAACTGTTTGGTTCCAATCATTCTTCAAAATATCTTCCTTTGTGTTCAACAGAGGAAAGAAACTCATACAGGTTTCATACGAGTAAATTATGACAGAATTTTCATTTTTGGGTGGAGTATCCCTTTAAGGACAATGATCATGAGAAACAATATCACACTTTGCCTAGGATCAAGTCCATGTTTGTGTAAACATTTTAACTGCTAGTCTACCATCCCCTATACCTGTGTGAACTACAAAACAGAGAACTAAATCAGTATAGTGACACCTAGTGTCTGTGTTTATAAATGATCCAACAGCTATCTTTCCAGAAATTTACACATGGTGGTGTGTGGGTTATATTGACAGACAGCTGCGTTAATCAGTGCCATGTTTACATTTTATCTGCACAAATAAACCAACCAACTTTTTAAGAAGAAAAAAAAAGCAGAGGTAATGGAGCTGATTTCTTTGCGTAACTAAGCTCTAACACCCAGCAGATCTTCTCCGCTTTCCTTTAAGCCTTATAAATAACACCCTCTGTACAGGAGGCCTCCTGACATTTCAGCTGTACATAGCAATCCCAGCATTCCCCGTTCTGTCTCCGGCAGCTGTTAGGAGAATATCAAACGCATCAAGATTCCACTGTGGGCAGAGAGACATAAAGAGGCCTGCCTGCTGCTAACACCATTAGCCATTGGAGGAAGAGAAGAGATGCATGCACAGTTCCAAATGCATGTAATGAAATACTTATTCTTGTGTTGGCCAATTCTTAGCCCGAAAAACAAACCTGCTGTAAATAGAACATTAATGAAGTTATTTTCCATGAAACAAGTAACCCCAGAACCAGATTATAGTTAGCATGCTTCTGACTCACACTGTATTCTAGCACACTAGGGATCTACTACGGCAAAATGACACAGAACCTGCATCCCCACGGGAGCACTATGAGCACTTAACCACTATTAAGGCGCATGTGAACGTGCGCTACGGCTGCACCACGGACGGGGCTGGAGCTAGAAATTCTAGTCCTCCATTTTTTCTAAGTGAAGTTCAGGCAGGGACAAGGCCTGGTGGACGGTTCACGTGTGCCAACACGTTGCATGATGGCGCTTTTGTGCGGACGACCCAAATTCAGAGTCATTTTCCAATCTCACCATTATTATGATGTTACAAAACAATATTCTCTGGATCAAAGACCTATTATCTTTATTATCTCTTCATTTTGTTGCATGTTTGTTCTGTGATTAGCTCATTTATTTCTGTTCTTCATTCTTATTATTATCCTTTTATATTTCATTTCTTTTAACTCTATTGTAGCTGAATTACACTAACTGGTGTGCTCTTTGTGTGCTCATGCTTCATTATGTTCAGCTTGCTGGTGACAGAGTGCACAGTAATATCTCTTTAGTCAAAGGAAAACGCTAGTTTTTAAGTAATCGCATTCATACGCGGGTCTTGTACCATCCAGTTACGATTTCTAACATTTGAAGTAAATTTACTTTTTTTGTTAAAATGAAAGCAAACCAGAAAGCATTTGATAAACTTTCTGGTTCCTCACACCAAGCTGTCGTATGGTATCCTATCAGATACTTATTTTCACCAACCATTCAATTTTTTATGGAACTGACCTTTAACGCTAATTATGAACTACTTATTCTAAGATGAATGCATTTATTATTATATAATAAAATTCTAAATGCGAGATAAAAATTGGGTAACACTATTTCAAGG